GGTTCTGATTTTTCAGTTGTTCATGGATAATATGTTTTGAGAACTTTTCGATTAATTCATCAATCAAATTGAAGTTTCAGCCACTACAGATAAACTTCAAAATATATGTAATAATTTTCATTTTTGCACATAAAAATGCATAGGTCTGTCTCTTTAATTGGTTGATCTTCAATTATTTTAAAATTTTGTATAGTTTGTTGTACTAGCATCTTCCAGATTGGAGAAGTCCATGTATTAAGGTGAAAATATCAGACGAACGGAGATAAAAGTTTCTTTTAATTCTATTCAAATAAATTCATCCCCGGATATTAATATTGATACAAAGGAGTTTTTTATTGAACTGTGAACTCAAGGCCATTTGTTTAATTGGACTTATTCAAATGTCCATTCAGGTATGCTGATTCGACATCAAAATTTTTTATTTGAGGACTTATCTATGTAGCTATTATGAGAAGAGCTATAAAGGATGCAAGTCTCATAACAGGGCTGAAGTTTTCTTCAAAATCAATTCCTTCAGTTTGTATCCGGTTGTGACTAATCAAGCTTTGTAGTTCGGATCAGGGTTTTCCTCTTGATGTTTGATTATATACGTATTATATAATATATATGACATTCGTATTTAGATATTTTCAATAAAATAATGAAAGTAATTGAAAAGAGCGAAACAAAAATTATAATTTTTGAATTTATAAAAAGGCCACAACTTGGGCAAGAAAAGGCTACTTGCGGCCTTAAGGCCGCATGTTCGCCACCCCTGATTTAGAGTATTTTGATATAAAATGTATTCAGCTAACTTCTAATATTTTATAAGTGATACAACATTATAAAATAGGAAATGATTAAAGAGCCAAAATTTTATATATCGGAAAAAAAAAATACAAATGGGTATTTAAAAATTAAAGACTATCCTTCGTTCTAAAAACCAAAAGATCGTTTTTTTAAATGTTTTTTTTTTATCGATGTCCTTTTTTCTCAAGTATGCCTTCAAGTAGCAAATCCTACATTAGGGAGATCTTAGAACACGATTGCTCCCCTACCATGGCTTGCAATTGGTATTCGAGTTTCGTAACTAATGAAAACATTGTCCGCGTTTTGTCCCAAGTCTTGAATCTTTCGGTGTTTAAATCTATTATGTGTAGAATTCATATCGAAAAAATTAGAGGATTAGCTTACTTTTTTAGATATAGTTTTGGATAATAGAAGAACCTTATAATAAATCTATTGGTGAATTATACCTCAATATTTTATTCAGCCTTGTAGAGAGGGTGTCCCACAGTTCAAAACGTCTTATATATAACCCTATATAAAGTTCTCTGAATCTTTAATTTATTTCTGAAGAGATTTCGTTGTAGTCAGCACCCAAAAACACTTTCGATTCTGATCAAAATTGAAATCAATTCGCAAAATAAAAGGTAGTTTCCTGAATGGTTACAATATCAAGTACTGTTTCCAATCAAGTAACATTGTGGATGGCAGCGGATCACGGCAGAATGGGAGAAGTGATCCGTGCAGAACATCCTCTTCCCAAGTGATCAAAGGGAAGCCCCTTCCCTTTCAATATGGGATCCCTCAAACTTCCTGGCAGGGAAAGGGCCCTCCCTATTTAACTCATCTCCGGGGGCCGTGAAATGGTTCGGGGGCACTTGACCGCTGGCACCCACCCCCGCGTCGCCACCTGGGGGGGAGCAGGCGACTTTATGATCGATCAGCCCCTTAACAAAAGTCTTCTCATAAAGCGCATGATAATTTTCAAGAAATGATCTGCAGATGCTGACAGCTCAATCTGTAACTGCTTTTCTTCACCCACCATTCACCCCCCCCCCCCCCCTCTCCCCTCGCAACTGGTTTTCTTGATTAATAGGCTAGATTGAGTCATGTCCGACTGCGAGTGGCCGGCCATTTGCTCAACAATCCATCATCTGAATGGTTCCAATACACTAAACTCTATTGGTAGACCTATCATAACAATTCTCTTTTTCATATGTAAAACCTTTCCTTGAATTCTCTCCCGCCAACCGTTCTTTCAGACCCTTTATTCCACGCTGTTATTGGTCGGTATAACTCATTAGCCTTATTTTTGACCTAGATTAGAAAATAGGACGGTATTTTGGAATTTGAAAAATGCTATTTCTAACTGCGTATTGTACGAAGAATAATCCCTAGTATTTCACAATAAAGACAGTTTCATTAAATACACGCTTCGCCCAAAATCCTTAATTGTATTTTATTGAGGATTTTTATCAGAACTTGGCGGGGCTGCATCAAGATAATGATATTCCGAGACGACGTCACGGTGAACGCTTTAGAACAAAAACGGATTATTTAATCCCATTTTCAACATGGCTTCTACGTGACTTGAGTTATGGAGTTTTGGTTAGTTGAAACACTCTACGGCTAACTACACTGGCGCTTTGGGGAGTTATTTAGGATTTTATATATAAACCTTACAACTTACAAAGAAGCTTTGGAGTAAAGGTGCAAATATTTAGTCAGAACGTCTGATCATCATTGAAATCAATTTTGGATAACCGCCAAAATTGCTAAATCGCGGAAACACCATTATCTATATAGATAATACCGTAACAGAGTTTTCCATTGTAAAGTCTTGAGCTATCTCCTCCGAAGATTCTGAACTACACATAACAATCTATATACCAAAATTTTCGTTATTTTTTTCTTCGTGTCATAGGCCTGTTTTTATTTTCCTAATGTTAACAGTTATTTTTATTTTTTAATTTAATCTATTTTACAATCGTAGATTTTTTGCATTTATCATCATCGGTTCGTTTGTTTTGAAATCCGTATTTTGTTTACCTTTTACTAATTCTTATTTACTAATTTTTACTAATTTCTGCATTCATTTGATTATTTGTATTTGATTTGTAAGTACTTTGTTATAGTTTTTCATTTAAATAGAGCTCAATTTTTGTGTATGTTTCTTATTTGCATTATCTTTCCTAATGTCTTTGGCAACGTTTTTTTTTTTCTCATAAATTCTTATAAATAAATCTCATTTTTTCTTTTGTCTGATGATGGTGACATTTGGATTAGATCTTTTTTTTTTTATTAATTTGTTATAGTTTTTCATTTGAATTTAGCTCCATTTTTGTGTCTTATTTAATAAATGAACTAAAGAATGAAATCTCATTTATTCTTTTGTCTGATTATTGTGTCTGATTTTCTTTTTTACAGTATCTTTCATAATGCCTGATTTGATTACTTGATTTTTTATAGTTTTTCTTTTAAATTTAGCTCCATTTTTGTGTCTGTTGTTTTTTTTTTCTTCTCATAAATAGGCTGATGACTTTATTTAATAGGCTTTGTGTACTCAATTGTTGCTTTTTGTGTCTGGTTTCTTTTTTGCTGTATTTTTTTGGCATCCTTTTTTTTTTCATCAATTGTTTCCTCACATGCTTTAAATAGGCTGAGGTTATATTATTTTTAGCATTGTAGATTGAATTATTACTTTTATTCTATAGTAATTTTCTTTTATAAGTGTTTGTTATAGTTTTTCATTTTAATTTAGCACTATTTTTTGTATCTGGTTATCTTTTTTGGAATCTTTTCATCTCTCTTTGGCATCTTTTTTTTTCTCATTGCTAAGACCTAATCCAAATAATTTAATAGTGTGTGACGTTTCTGCAACAGCATCATACAAAAGAATAAATGAACTCAAGAATAAAATCTCATTTTTTCTTTTGTCTGATGATGGTGACATTTGGATTCGATCTTTTTTTTTTTTATTAATTTGTTATAGTTTTTCATTTGAATTTAGCTCCATTTTTGTGTCTTATTTAATAAATGAACTAAAAAATACAATCTCATTTATTCTTTTGTCTGATTATTGTGTCTGATTTTCTTTTTTACAGTATCTTTCATAATGCCTGATTTGATTATTTGATATTTTATAGTTTTTCATTTAAATTTAGCTCCATTTTTGTGTCTGTTGTTTTTTTTCTTCTCATAAATAGGCTGATGGCTTTATTTGATAGGCTTTGTGTACTCAATTGTTGCTTTTTGTGTCTGGTTTCTTTTTTGCTGTATTTTTTTGGAATCCTTTTTTTTTTCATCAATTGTTTCCTCACATGCTTGGCATTTTCTTTTTATGCCTGTCCTGGCTTTCAGTTTTATAGTTTTCCTCTGCTTGGTTCTTATTTTACCTTTTTTTTTTCAGCGTCTTCTGTCATGCCTCGAAAAGGCCGTGGAAGATTCACTCCCCTAACAGCTAGGCGTGCTAATATGCCTCGCCGCAGACACAGAACCCCAATTACTATTTCTCTTGTACAACTATATTGCAGATAAGATAAGAGGACCTTATTAAAAAATAAATAAACAAACTGCAATTCGACACTTTCGATAATTCGACCATTTTAAAAATGAAATTTTCAAGGTTGATTGTTGTTTAAATACAACTTTACCGGTAAAAAGGTATTACAGAGGCGAAGGCAGCCACTTTAAAATTAAACACAGGCTCTTGTAGGAAGAACCGAAATATTCAGAATTAATGGAAGTCTGATATCTGAAGGACCAAAAGATATGGGTCATCTTTACATGTATGCTATCCAATGTTCGCACACTTGAAAAAGCAACTTAAAGTTGTCCGAGCGTAAACACAGGCTCTTGTAGCCAAGGTTTGTCCTTGACCCTTATTTATAGTCATAGCAAAAGCCAACCTTAGTGAAAACTAATGCCTCTCTAGAATGAAGCGAAGGTTGGTATCCAAAGGGGCCAAAGATATTTCAGACACTATACAGTGTGTTCAACTTTGGGCACTGTCAGTATATGTGCTTCGAACAATACAACTATATTGCAGATAAGATAAGAGGACCTTATTATTTTACTGTAAGTGCACCACATGTCTACACATGTGAAAAGCAGTTCGACTTTGCACTTACTAATGCCAGAGCCCCGTTTGGTTACTTGCTCTCGCTGGTGGGGTTGGAATTTTGCAAGAATCGGGGGCCATTGGAGCATTTTTTTTTTCTTTAAACAGAAAAAAGTGTCCAATGCGGGATTCGAACCCGGGTCCTAGTGGTCGAAAACCAAACGGTTTAACCAGCCTTCCACCGACCCCCAGACAAAAGAATAAATGAACTAAAGAATAAAATCTCATTTTTTCTTTTGTCTGATGATGGTGACATTTGGATTAGGTCTTTTTTTTTTTATTAATTTGTTATAGTTTTTCATTTGAATTTAGCTCCATTTTTGTGTCTAATTTAATAAATGCACTAAAGAATAAAATCTCATTTATTCTTTTGTCTGATTATTGTGTCTGATTTTCTTTTTTACAGTATCTTTCATAATGCCTGATTTGATTGCTTGATCTTTTATAGTTTTTCATTTAAATTTAGCTCCATTTTTGTGTCTGTTGTTTTTTTTTTTTTCTTCTCATAGATAGGCTGATGCTGTATTTATGTACTCACTTGTTGCTTTTTTGTGTCTGGTTTCTTTTTTGCTGTATTTTTTTTTTTTTTTTTTGGAATCCTTTTTTTTTTTCATCAATTGTTTCCTCACATGCTTGGAATTTTCTTTTTATGCCTGTCCTGGCTTTCAGTTTTATAGTTTTCCTCTGCTTGGTTCTTATTTTACCTTTTTTTTTCAGCGTCTTCTGTCATGCCTCGAAATGGCCGTGGAAGATTCACTCCCCTAACAGCTAGGCGTGGTAATATGTCTCGCCGCAGACACAGAGAGAGAACCCCAATTACTATTTCTCTTGTTTACTTTTTTACCAATGCCTATAATTTTTCACCTGAAAGATTTTTTATTTTGTTTGTTATTCAATACGGTCCTCTTATCTTATCTGCAATATAGTTGTATTGTTCGAAGCACATATACTGACAGTGCCCAAAGTTGAACACACTGTATAGTGTCTGAAATATCTTTGGCCCCTTTGGATACCAACCTTCGCTTCATTCTAGAGAGGCATTAGTTTTCACTAAGGTTGGCTTTTGCTATGACTATAAATAAGGCTCAAGGACAAACCTTGGCTACAAGAGCCTGTGTTTACGCACGGACAACTTTAAGTGGCTTTTTCAAGTGTGCGAACATTGGATAGCATACATGTAAAGATGACCCATATCTTTTGGTCCTTCAGATTTCAGACTTCCATTCATTCTGAATATTTGGGATCTTCCTACAAGAGCCTGTGTTTAATTTTAAAGTGGCTGCCTTTTTTTTTTCTTTAAACAGAAAAAAGTGTCCAATGCGGGAATCGAACCCGGGTCCTAGTGGTCGAAAACCAAACGGTTTAACCAGCCTTCCACCGACCCCCAGACAAAAGAATAAATGAACTAAAGAATAAAATCTCATTTTTTCTTTTGTCTGATGATGGTGACATTTGGATTAGGTCTTTTTTTTTTTATTAATTTGTTATAGTTTTTCATTTGAATTTAGCTCCATTTTTGTGTCTTATTTAATAAATGAACTAAAGAATAAAATCTCATTTATTCTTTTGTCTGATTATTGTGTCTGATTTTCTTTTTTACAGTATCTTTCATAATGCCTGATTTGATTACTTGATCTTTTATAGTTTTTCATTTAAATTTAGCTCCATTTTTGTGTCTGTTGTTTTTTTTTTTTCTTCTCATAAATAGGCTGATGCTGTATTTATGTACTCAATTGTTGCTTTTTGTGTCTGGTTTCTTTTTTGCTGTATTTTTTTTTTTTTTTTGGAATCCTTTTTTTTTTTCATCAATTGTTTCCTCACATGCTTGGAATTTTCTTTTTATGCCTGTCCTGGCTTTCAGTTTTATAGTTTTCCTCTGCTTGGTTCTTATTTTACCTTTTTTTTTCAGCGTCTTCTGTCATGCCTCGAAAAGGCCGTGGAAGATTCACTCCCCTAACAGCTAGGCGTGCTAATATGACTCGCCGCAGACACAGAGAGAGAGCCCCAATTACTATTTCTCTTGTTTACTTTTTTACCAATGCCTATAATTTTTCACCTGAAAGATTTTTTATTTTGTTTGTTATTCAATACGGTCCTCTTATCTTATCTGCAATATAGTTGTATTGTTCGAAGCACATATACTGACAGTGCCCAAAGTTGAACACACTGTATAGTGTCTGAAATATCTTTGGCCCCTTTGGATACCAACCTTCGCTTCATTCTAGAGAGGCATTAGTTTTCACTAAGGTTGGCTTTTGCTATGACTATAAATAAGGCTCAAGGACAAACCTTGGCTACAAGAGCCTGTGTTTACGCACGGACAACTTTAAGTGGCTTTTTCAAGTGTGCGAACATTGGATAGCATAAATGTAAAGATGACCCATATCTTTTGGTCCTTCAGATTTCAGACTTCCATTCATTCTGAATATTTGGGATCTTCCTACAAGAGCCTGTGTTTAATTTTAAAGTGGCTGCCTTCGCCTCTGTAATACCTTTTTACTGGTAAAGTTGTATTTAAACAACAATCAACCTTGAAAATTTGATTTTTAAAATGGTCGAATTATCGAAAGTGTCGAATTATCGAAAGTGTCGAATTATCGATAGTGTCGAATTATCGATAGTGTCGAATTGCAGTTTATTTATTTTTTAATAAGGTCCTCTTATCTTATCTGCAATATAGTTGTATTGTTCGCAGCACATATACTGACAGTGCCCAAAGTTGAACACACTGTATAGTGTCTGAAATATCTTTGGCCCCTTCAGGTACCAACCTTCGCTTCATTCTAGAGAGGCGTTAGTTTTCACTAAGGTTGGCTTTTGCCATGACTATAAATAAGGCTCAAGGACAAACCTTGGCTACAAGAGCCTGTGTTTACGCACGGACAACTTTAAGTGGCTTTTTCAAGTGTGCGAACATTGGATAGCATACATGTAAATGAACTAAAGAATAAAATCCTTCAGATTTATTCTTTTGTCTGATTATTGTGTCTGATTTTCTTTTTTACAGTATCTTTCATAATGCCTGATTTGATTACTTGATCTTTTATAGTTTTTCATTTAAATTTAGCTCCATTTTTGTGTCTGTTGTTTTTTTTTTTTCTTCTCATAAATAGGCTGATGCTGTATTTATGTACTCAATTGTTGCTTTTTGTGTCTGGTTTCTTTTTTGCTGTATTTTTTTTTTTTTTTTTGGAATCCTTTTTTTTTTTCATCAATTGTTTCCTCACATGCTTGGAATTTTCTTTTTATGCCTGTCCTGGCTTTCAGTTTTATAGTTTTCCTCTGCTTGGTTCTTATTTTACCTTTTTTTTTCAGCGTCTTCTGTCATGCCTCGAAAAGGCCGTGGAAGATTCACTCCCCTAACAGCTAGGCGTGCTAATATGACTCGCCGCAGACACAGAGAGAGAGCCCCAATTACTATTTCTCTTGTTTACTTTTTTACCAATGCCTATAATTTTTCACCTGAAAGATTTTTTATTTTGTTTGTTATTCAATACGGTCCTCTTATCTTATCTGCAATATAGTTGTATTGTTCGAAGCACATATACTGACAGTGCCCAAAGTTGAACACACTGTATAGTGTCTGAAATATCTTTGGCCCCTTTGGATACCAACCTTCGCTTCATTCTAGAGAGGCATTAGTTTTCACTAAGGTTGGCTTTTGCTATGACTATAAATAAGGCTCAAGGACAAACCTTGGCTACAAGAGCCTGTGTTTACGCACGGACAACTTTAAGTGGCTTTTTCAAGTGTGCGAACATTGGATAGCATAAATGTAAAGATGACCCATATCTTTTGGTCCTTCAGATTTCAGACTTCCATTCATTCTGAATATTTGGGATCTTCCTACAAGAGCCTGTGTTTAATTTTAAAGTGGCTGCCTTCGCCTCTGTAATACCTTTTTACTGGTAAAGTTGTATTTAAACAACAATCAACCTTGAAAATTTGATTTTTAAAATGGTCGAATTATCGAAAGTGTCGAATTATCGAAAGTGTCGAATTATCGATAGTGTCGAATTATCGATAGTGTCGAATTGCAGTTTATTTATTTTTTAATAAGGTCCTCTTATCTTATCTGCAATATAGTTGTATTGTTCGCAGCACATATACTGACAGTGCCCAAAGTTGAACACACTGTATAGTGTCTGAAATATCTTTGGCCCCTTCAGGTACCAACCTTCGCTTCATTCTAGAGAGGCGTTAGTTTTCACTAAGGTTGGCTTTTGCCATGACTATAAATAAGGCTCAAGGACAAACCTTGGCTACAAGAGCCTGTGTTTACGCACGGACAACTTTAAGTGGCTTTTTCAAGTGTGCGAACATTGGATAGCATACATGTAAAGATGACCCATATCTTTTGGTCCTTCAGATTTCAGACTTCCATTCATTCTGAATATTTCGGTTCTTCCTACAAGAGCCTGTGTTTAATTTTAAAGTGGCTGCCTTCGCCTCTGTAATACCTTTTTACCGGTAAAGTTGTATTTAAACAACAATCAACCTTGAAAATTTGATTTTTAAAATGGTCGAATTATTGAAAGTGTCGAATTATCGATAGTGTCGAATTGCAGTTTGTTTATTTATTTTTTAATAAGGTCCTCTTATCTTATCTGCAATATAGTTGTATTGTTCGAAATTTTATTTTCTAATTAATTTTTTTCTTTTTTTTTCACTCTAATAATATTTATTTAAATCTGATAATATATATATTTTTATTTAATGCAATTTATTTAATAATTTATTCAATCCAATGTCTATAGTTTCTTCCCTGAAATTGCTTACCAAACATGAGTCAGTGTTTCCTCAGTGTTAACAGTTGGAGTGTTAGAATGCGGAGAAGCAAAATAACTCCCTACTGAATTTCTCAATAGTCTTACTCCCAGAGGAATGCATCCACACCAGTTTAACTCTAGGTTGGTGCTATTGTTATGCTTCTGAGAAGTTTTAATCCTAAGCAGGGTCTTTGAAAATGGTACACGTGTGATGATACTGTGCATGTGATCTCATGTCCTTAAAGTAGTGTAGTTCTGTTGTTTGCACTTTCATTTTCTGATTTGTTAAAATTTTTCTTCTATAGTTTCTCACCTGCGGGTCCTTCGGGTAAACCTGGGTCGTTGCCCGGGTCACTCGGCTATTTATATCTATATATATCTATACTTTTAAAGTCTCTGCAGGCCCTTTGGGTAAACCCTGGGCG